TGAGCCCCATGTTGGGCACCAAAAAGGAATCTCATAGTTTATCCCTGGTCAGCAACTAAGTCCCACACAGCCACTCGCTCACTTCCCCCAGTGGGATTGGGGGAGAGAGTGAGAAGGGTAAAAATGAGAAAACCCGTGGGTTGAGATAAAGACAGTTTAATTAACAGGCAAAGAAAAAGCTGCGTGCACAAGCAAAGCAGAACAAGGAATTCATTCACTGCTTCCCATGGGTAGGCAGGTGCTCAGCCTTCCCCAGGAAAGCAGGGCTCCATCACATGTAATGGTGACTTGAGAAGACAAATGCCATCACTCTGAACATCCCTCCTTCCTTTTTCCTCCAGGTTTATATGCTGAGCTTGATGTCATATGGTGTGGGATATCCCTTTGGTCAGTTGGGGTCAGCTGTCCCAGCTGTGTCCCCTCCGAGCTTCTTGTGCCCCCCCCCCAGCCTCCCCATTGGTTGGGTGGGGTGAGGAGCAGGAAAGGCCTTGGACTGTGTGTAAGCCCTGCTCAGCAGTAACAAAAACATGCCTGGGGTATCAACAGTTTCCAGCACAAATCCAAAACATAGCCCCATACCAGCTACTATGAAGAAAATTAAGCCAAACCCAGCACAGTATCTGAGAAAATAAAGGAGATGAGTAGCTCTTAAAATCCTCTCAGCACATAGATGAATACTTCGAAGATTAATGCTTCATGAGGAAAAAACATTTTAAAAAGTTCATTCACCATTGCAATCATAAAACTACAAGATTGTTTGATGGCAGTCAGTAAATGCCAACCACATTCTGGTCTGTGCATAGTGTGCGTATATCTGACCGTAGATGAGCTTTGATTCAGAAACATTAGCAGTGTTCTACCCTGCGCTACATGGTGGTTCATCCAGATTGTCATGGCAGCGTCTACCTGTGAGGTCCCGCGAAAGGCAGCTATCTCCCCATCAGCCTTCTGCCCCAGCATGCTTGTGCGTGTGGTCTGAGCGAGTGCCTGCTTTTAAGGGAAATCCTGCTAAATGCTGTCAGAAACTGTGTGAGTGTGTGTTCATTTGCTATGCTTTGGCTGCAATATTTCTGTACTGTATTGTATTGTTTCAGGATCATTTGATCCTGAAATGATCTATCCCAAGCCAGAAAAGCATTGTGGTGAGCCACGATGCGTGAACACGGGCTGCACCATCCCAGGGCTCAGAGGCAGGAGGAGCAGGAGGGGATGGAGGAGCAGGTGGGGATGGAGGAGCAGGAGGGGATGGAGGAGCAGGTGGGGATGGAGGAGCAGGAGGGGATGGAGGAGCAGGTGGGACTCCAGGCAGCCTCACCACCTTGCCAAGAAGGGCTTGGCAGCCTCAGAAAAGAGGCCTCGACTTGTCTAAGGGGGGTGTAAACCTTTAGTCACTGCAGTTCCAAATCCACACTCCAGTTTTCACGCAGAGCACCTGTATTTTACCTTAGCAACAGTGAAACATATCCTTAATTTGAACCCCCTCCCCAAGAGCTGCATTGAGCAGTATTTTAGGCATCTGTCTTAAAGCACACCCTAATAACAGAGGTTGCAAGTAACACTGACAGAAGTAGCAAAGGAGGACTTGGATGTTGTTTAGTGCTGTGGTTTTGTTTTATGAACCCGCATGCTTATTTCAGCATGCGAGGAGCCGGTGTTCAAGACAGACAATGTGTGAACTCAGACGTAGCGTTGTACGAGGCGACGGCAGAACTGTTGCATTGTGGGCAGGATATATTGCTTGGAGCAATGTGTTTCAGGAGTCTGTCAACCAGAGATGACAGGGGGAAATGAAGATGAGAGTGCTCTCTGGGAAAGTAAATCTGGGAAGGAAAATAAACCTGCCAAAGAGGAGAAAAAAAATCTAGCAATTGTTGGGGGGGAGGGGGGGGGAAGTAACCTAGAAACTGGGAGCGGTACAACAGAAAAAAAAGATGCTGACATGCAGCTGAAAGAGATAAGGGAGGGAGAAAGGGAGAAAAAAACTGGGAGTCAGGGGAGAAAGAGGAAGAGGAGAAAGGCTTTGGAGATTTATGGGCATTATACAGCTGAAATTTATTGGTTTGCCATTTGTCTGCTACACCTGGGAAACAGTTTGCCTTTAGGTACTGCCCATTGTAGAAGTAGACTTTTAGGATAAGATTTCTCCTCCCAACCCCTATAATCTAATGTTAAAATAAGGAGACTTCATGGGCTCTTTTATTTTGATTATTTATTGTTGACAATGTATTTCCACTAACAGCAGTATCTGAATTGAAGGTGCTGGGAGAATTCCACGACTCACTAGCAATGAAAGAGCAACATTTGGAGCCAGGAATGACTTCTGCAACACACAGGTCAGGGAAAATGTCATTAAGATGCATGCAGGTTGCAGAAAGGCTGAAATTCCCTGTGCTAGGAGACATGGGCAGACAAAATGAGTAGATGGCAATATTGCATTTTAAAAACTTAATTCCTACTCCTGGCTGGAATTTGGCTGGAGGCTTGTGGCTTTGGGAGCTTGGTCAAAGAGTTAATGTGTTGGTTTAAAAGGGAAAAAGGTGCGTGGGGGGCAATGGAGGGGAAGAGCGACACAGGCACAGATGAGCCTTGGACAAAAGAAGCGCATCAGTTCTGGAACATTTCTAAGCCTTCCCTGATTGTCGCCCGACCACCACTCCATCAAGATCTTCTTCTCCTGCCTCCCTCACTTCATCACCTCCAAATTGTGCTCCCTGATAGTTAAGAGTGGGGAATCAATCAGAGACTCTGCTCCTTTCAACCGCAGGTACTGGCGGCCACAGGGGGCCATGATCTGATTAAGGCATTGTTGAAAACAGCTTTTGCCTTTCATCTGAAACCACTATCCTCGGACCAAATCAGTGGGAGCCGGTGAACGGCACACGTACTGCTGCGTGGGCTCTGGAGGTACCAGAGAATCTACAACTACAGAAAGGAATTTGCCTTTTAAAGTGCATACAGAGCTGGGAAGCAGGCTGTCTCGTGATACAACGCATCGTCCACAATATTCACCTCCAGCATATTATGTAATGTGATTTATTTTTTTTTTTACTTAAACAACAATTTTTTTTAAACTATGTCCTATAATAAAGCCAAACTTTGAAGTGGTATAAAATGCTTCACAAATATTTTTTTTCTGCTCTCAATTCAAAAGCAGCCGAGTTTGTTACTTCACTTTCAACACACAGGACAGGTCTGTAGAGGGTCTCATCCTGCACCTTTAAGTGAAGTAACATTTTTATTTCATTGTTGTGAATTAAATCCCATAATTTAATTTGGTGGTTATTTGCAAAAGGTCAGATCAATGTCAGTAGTCTCAGCACCGTTCCAGGAACAGTGCTGCTTTATAAAGTGGCAGGCAAAACATTGTTTCTATGGATTTTGCATAAATAGTGTTTAGAATTTTTTTTTTAATTTCCTGTCTGTGGACAAGCTGGATGCAAAAAAAAAATAATAGCCAAAGTTGTGTGCTAATTTGTACGGGTAAACCGTTTCAGGCAATAACTGAGTGCGGAACATGCATCTGGGTCCCTGGAACTCAAACTGTATTTCCAATTTAAAATCATTCTGTAAAGAGATCAGATTTTCCTGATTAAAAACCTTGAGAGAGGTTGTATTTAATATCCACATCTACATTCCACGCTGGGCTCAAATTTAATCTCTGTCTACTAACAAGTTTTTTTAATGATATTGATTTAGCTATAAGATAGAAGCATCTCCAACAGGATATTTTCACCAAACAAAATAAATGATGTAACTTCTCCTGCCGAGCTCCACAGAGCAAAGGGCATGAGCGGGACGCCCACGCTCACCTGCGCGCTGCACAAGAAAGAGACCGGATTCCTTGCTCAATAAAACACCAATAATTGCATCATTCAAAGGGTTTTTTTTTCTATGTTAAGTCTGTTTACAAATATGTGCAGTTGGAGAACATAGTTGTTCCAAAGCTTAGAAAAACTGTGTCTTCTGACCAAGTCTTTCAGCCTTTGCCTGCTCTGTCTGCTGTTTCTGCTGTTCTACATCCAATGGCTTCTATTTCCCTGTGGGCAGTACCACCCCAGGAGTGACTGTGAATGGATTTGTGAAATGCGTGACTACCGTGCGCATCGTCCTGCATCTTCAGTCCTGTGGCTTTTGTAAAGTCACCTCTTTGCCTTTATCCCAACCATTCATCCCAGTGTGACAATTCCCACGCCAGCCTTTGGGGCTCATCTAACACCCTGCCACTTGCACGTGTGGGTGCCTGCAGCTGCACAGCAGAAAGCCACTTCTTTGTGCTTGTTCTACGGGGTTTATTTAAACCAAAAATACATTAAATTATGTTAACGTAGGTTATTGCCTGAGTGAAGAATGAATTCCATCCACAAAGTCACCAATATTTATTTCTGTTTTATTAAAAAAAAAAAGGTGAAATGATTTTACTTCAAAGCATTATTTTCACATGGACAAGCCCATTCTCCCCACCCCAAAATTCTTCTTTTAATTGACTGTGACACCAGAACAATCTCAACATGTATTAGCTCAGCTAAAATAATGTGAAAAAAACTACAAATGCAACTGAAATATTTTGATTATGAGGCATAGATGTTGAAGTGAAGACTGCACTACATGTATTCATGTTTGGGGAGAATCTGTCAGCGCCTTGGAAATTTTAAGAGATACTCAGAACTGGAGCGGAAAACTGAGCGTAACTGTTGATGTAAATGACACCAATTTTTACAGGAGAATTTATGACAAATAGAGCATCTTCTAAGACTTTTTATAAAGTCCCTTATCTTCAAAGAGCCCTCTTCCTCCTTTGTACTTTTGAAGGGAAAGTGATATAAAGCTCAGATAGTGATAGCATCCATTTCCCATAAAATTCTCACTGTGTTTTCTGTCAGCTGAAGTGTTTCATTACCTCAGAACTAAATCGTGTTCAGCTGATGCCACAGTCACTTTCCAAGACCAGATGATGGATACTTGAATTTCCGTAGGCCACTCGTTGCCTCTTCTGGCACAGCTCAGGGTGGTGCAGGTGCGTTCATGTGGGTGTAAGAACATTTGGAGAGTGAAGCCCCTGTTGTCTTCCCCTCCTCTTCATCACCAGCCTCTCCCCGTACTGCAGAGGGCTTTTGCTTTGCACAGCAGGTGAAAGTGGCTAGAAAACCCATGCGGAAACGCTTGTTCATGAAGCAGTAGATGATAGGGTTCACGCAGGCAGAAGTGTAGGACAACAAGTGGATAAAGGAGATAGGAGCTCCTGAGAGGCGCTGGTCTGCCGAAGTGGTGTCGAACGCACGCCAGGCATTGACACTGAAGATGGGAGTCCAGCAAAGGAAAAACAAAATCACTATCACCATCAACATGCGGATGACGAGTTTCTTGGCCATTAAGTTGGCAGAAGAGCTGCTGCTTCTCACTCTGTCTATTTTGCTATGGCTAGTAGCAGAGAGCTGTTGCAATGGCATTTTCCTTTTTCTTTTGGTTTTGTTGAGGTAGCATCCATCTCCATCCTCATATTTGGTGCTGCAGGTACTTATTTTTCTTTCTGTACATATAAATTAATGCTTAAGTAGTTGGCAAAATATCTCTGAACAGCGATTCAAAACAAAAAAACAAGAACGGAGTCTACGTCTAAACAAATAACATAATTCATGGCTGAACAACTGCTGCAAAGAAAGCACTGGCCTACTTCTGAATCAGTTGTGTATCAGCTGCTCTGCGTCTGCTATCTCCCAGTATTCTCACATCTTAACTCTATACAAATCGATGCAAAATTTTATGCTTCTTTCTTAATTTCACAGTTTTTATTGTGGTGTTTATTGAGAGAAATGGTTGTCATCCATGGCCAGAAAAAAAATCTCGGTATTTCTATAATAAGTAAATTAGAAATGTAATGTATCCTGCCCAGAGTCTTTACAAACAAGCCATAGGTGAGGAATTATTTGCTAGTGAATAATGAAATAACTTCCATCAACAAATGCATCTGGCATGTTCATGACCATAACTGACATACAGATCATTTTTGCAAATAGAAAATTTTTCTTCTGGTAGCCTCAAGATGACTGATCATAACTTCAACTCTAACTTAAAAAACCCCAAACCTAAACGTATTATTACCTCGTGAAGATTTTCTCTGGCTGGCATCAAATTTTATTCCTCTGTAGAGTTCCAAAGAAATTAGGCCATATGCAACCATCATTATAATCCCAGGTATGAGAAAGAGTATGAGTAGCAGGAAAGTATACCTAAACAATCAAAAGACAAACTGAGACCAGGGAACAGCACAAAACCAGAAAAACTGCTTTTTCTCCAGGTGAGAACTGGGGGGGGCAGGATTTCAAGATTTTTCTGAAATTTTTTCATGCTAATATGAAACATCATTTTGACAGCTCTGGAAATTAGAAGCTTCCCACCTCTTCTCCTCCTTCTTCCCCCGGAAGCAGGAACAAGGCTTCCGTGGCTGCAAAACGTCCATCACCCAACCTCTGCAGGCCCAGAGGAGATGGGCACTCCCATAGTGGTTAGAGGGGGCAGAAGGTCTCTCTGCCCGTGAGTGGAGCTCCCTGCTGTAACCAGATGAGCATCGGATGCCCTGTAGCTTTGCATGATGTAAAAATTGCCTTGCAGAAGCCAAATGAGTGGCTGCTGACTCTCAAAGGAGCCCCTGGTACCGGCAGTCACTACTTCCATGAGATCTGACCCTGCCAAGGATTGTGGCACACGTGGGCAGGGACAGAGCAGCCACAACCTGGGCTTTCATACCTGAGGCCATGCAGAGCCCCCGGGGAGGGATCCCAGGGCTGGCAACCCCTTTGCTAAAGGAAGAAGGTTTTACTTGGTTGCACATCTGTTACTCTCCTGGGCAGCTTCTCTAATGTGATTACAAGTTGGGGAAATAATTCTGTTTAAATGCATGCATGGGCCCATGTCTCTTCTGCTCCCTGGGACTTTGGTGCAAACTCACTAACACACCTGGGATCCTGCAATGGCACCACGGAGAAGCGAATTTCACCCTGCACCCTCCCTCCTCATCTGTGCTCATACGGCCAAATACCTGAGACTATTGAAAGCATCAATACAAATTCACTATGTTTGTGGATACACTATACTGAAGTGGTGCCTACTTTAATCTTGTTCTCAGTTCCAAGTGACCTTCAGTATCCAAAAAAAATCTTATATCTTCTCAGTGCCAGTTAAAGTGCTCAGTCATCATGCAAGGACACAATGTCCAAGTAGTACGGCTGCTTGATAGTGCTACCATTTACACATCTGCCTGGATGTGTAGGATTTGGAGCACTGCCTCCCCCCTCATCTCTCTGCCCCTGTTCCCTATGAGTGACCAAAAGGGTTCAGTTCTCAGGAAGGGCATTTGCAACCTCTCCAAGTTCTCAGATTCTACTCCTCTGCTTCAGAGGACCTTCAGACAAACAAGGTAACAGGCAAGGCAGCCCACAGACAGGCGCTTGTATGTGTCTGTGCGTTTCAAGGATTAATCAAGGGTTTCTCTCAAAATATTTAAGTTTATGTATAAATGAGTGAAAGCAATATTCCCACTTGAAGAGTGACAGATGCTTTCCTTTACAGCGACAGTAGGGGCTTAGCAGACCATAGTGTGAGAATCATTGCCATGTTGGGTGTCATTCCTATGACAAGGGAAAAGTCATACAAGTGTCAAAATGTAAGCAGCTTAAAAACATGATTTTTTTTTTTTACTTCTTCAATAAGCATGATAGAAATATAAATGTTTGCTGAAGGTTAATACTTGATTTTCAATAGGCTTAATGCTACCATGAAATCCTGTTTTCCACCAGATAATTATGCATTTGCTAACAGCCTGTTATGTCTTACCAAGACTGCTGAATGGCATCACTTGGCCAAAGAAGCCGACACATATTTGCTGTGGCGTTGTTATACTTGGTAAAAGGTACCAGTTTGCTGTAAATTGGGTATGGTGACATGATAGCAAAGGAAACACACCAGGTAGCAGCAATCACTTTCAAGGCATGGGATTTTGTCTGCCAGACCCTGGATTGCAGAGGCTTGCAAATGGCACTGTATCTCTCCAAAGATATGGCAACCAAGTTGAATGTAGATACACTTACAGAGACACCTATATATATAAAATAAAGAAAAAGGTTATGCTCCTGTTTTAAAGGTTCGTATTATTTTCAAACTGTCTTGCTAACTTTCTGTATGTATACAGAAAATTAAAAATATAGCCAACTATTTATAAGCTAAAATATTTATAAGTATCATACTGATTAAGACAGCAGAGAATGTGTAGGCAATGCATCTGGGTCTCCAGACTGATGTTCCTGCTCTGCGCTCCTCTAGCTCCAGAAGACCAAGAGAAAAGATTCATTCTGTCAAACCATGAAATTCTGATAACAGAGAAAGAAGACGCTTTTCCTCCTAATTCTTCTCTTTGCTACTGTGGTTTATCCACTCCACTAATTGCACTGAAATTCAAACAAGCATTTGAAATTAGTGGGACTGTGCTGTTAATTACTCTTTTAACGCAGAAGTTCATAGTCCTTCTTCTACTGTTTTAATCTTTTTAAGTGTCCTGCTTGACTAGTGATCTGATTTTCTCATTCAACAGAATTAAATATGTCACCACTTTTTTAATTAGATCCTAATGGGGTTACAAAGCAGGAGAAATGAAGCCATGAAGCAGAATATTTGTCCATCAGGTGCACTTAATTTCTCCTGTTCATATATTATAAAATATAATGCAGTGAACTGTATTTCTGTCACAGAGGTGCCCCAGTTTATCCCTGCAAGATTTTAAGTCTTTCTTCTAAATTTTATCACAATTTTTTCTTTCAGCAAATGAGCTTTCATTTAATATTCTTTGTGAATGTTCTAATGTGAGTCAAAATATAAAATGCCAATATCTTTACAGTTGGCTTTTCACACATTTTCTGTAGTTTAAAATAAGTCTTCCTACACCTTAAAATGAAAAACTGAGCATGGGTGATGTCAGTGTCTGTTTGTCAGTTGAAGCCTCTGTTGTTAACCTGAATTGCTAATGGGAAATATCCCCATTCTGACTCTTAAAATAAAACACCTTCATAATTAAAAACTTCATGTTTGAAAATATTTCACTGGACATTTTTTATAAAGTAATTTACACAGTGTGAAATAAGAGAAAGATGGTAATGCTTCAGTAATGTTTTATGGTATTTATGGCAGCAATTCATTACGATTGTTTAAACATGGCCTTTAGTTTTATTGGTTTTATCTACAAAAAGATGTTCATTTCCCATTCGTGCACTCTAGGTGTGTACTTTCACATTACATCAAAGTTCTCAAGGGCATGGATTGAAAGGGGACCTAAGGTTTCTGTAATTAACCAAGGAGCTCCCAAGGTAGCAAAAACTTTACATAATGTTCTCTTTTTTTTTTTTTATAAGAAACAAGCAACACACAGGAAGTATTGGAAGTGAGACAAAATCCCTTACACGGACATACATAACCCAGGCATTTTGAAACTCCTGGCTCCACAACCAAAGGGGGTATGGCGAGGCATATAAAAATGATGCTTCCTAAAGTCAGCCTCTAAAACCCGTACCTGTATTTTGCGGTCTCCTGGTGAGCTCTGACCACAACCTGGTCTGGTCTCAGAAAGCGCTTGCTCTAACTTCCAGCTCTGCAAATGACACCTACTTTGACCTATTTTTTTTTCATGTATCACGGCTACCAAAAATCCCTGGGCAAAACCTGCCCTTAGTGAGGACTGTACAAGCCTGCCGTTTCTGATGGGTTGCCTGAACAAACACTGCGACGAACTCACTGTCAGTGATGGGTAAGCAAGCGCATGGGCCGGGTTCCTCATTAAAGCTTGATCATGCAACACGCTTCTCATTTAACCTGATCCAGCAAAACACTTCTGTATGTTGTTAAAATTAAGTGGGTTCCTCTATGTTTTGCTGGATCAGGCTGAGGAAACCAGAACCATGAAGATTTGCCCTACGAAGTTGTTTCTTCATGATTTTGGTAACTGTTTGATGGCAGATGGAAACAATCAGCTTTTTACTGGTCTTTAACAACCTTCTCACCTATCTCATTAGTCAATCTTCAAAATAAGTACAAACTTCCAAGACTTACCCATGAAATAAGTGGCAGTTTTGCAAACAGCGCTGCCAAAAATAAAATCTTCCAGCAGGTTGGGAATGAGGGTGAACGGCATGCAGAAAATGCAGAGCATCAGGTCACTGACTGCTAGTGACAGCAGAAAGGTGTTGGTGACTGTTCTCATCCGCTTGTTTCTTATCAGCACCGTAATTACCAGAATGTTCCCCAAAATGCTGAGCACAAAAATCAAGCAATACAGCAGAATCCGAATTATCTGATGCAAATCTGAAAATTGTCACAAGGAAAAATCAGTTATACAGTATACAGCTGATAGATTTGTATTCTGCATTTAATCCTTTAATCAAAAGGTAAAAGCCTTTCTGTATTCAGTTTTACTAAGGTTTATGTCTTTACACCAATGCAAAATCAGTGGAAGTTCTGAAATTCTTAAACTTATTCTGATCTACCTGAATTAAATAATATTAAAATACAATACATGCAATACAACATCCACCTGGAGAGCCGAATACGACTTCCCAAACGCACGTTCTGCTCACACTACTTCGCGTGCACCTCTCACTCACCACAAGAGTTCCTCCTTTATGCAGAAGTAAGAAAAAATACAGCAATCAAAAATATTTTAATACATGGATGATTTTTTTCAGCCTCAGAGTGCTATGATTTCATATTTAATCACTTCCATACACAGTGTCAGATCAGGCAACTCCATCGTTACTGAATTGCTCAAAGAGTTTCTCCAAGTCCTTAGCAGAGCTGTTTACATTTTGTGCCCAATAATGCTACTGTTTTAGCTTTCCATTACATCCAAATTTTGTTCTAGTTGAAATTCTAACCTGGAAAAACCACCACATACTAAATTCTTGCTTGTCTGTTCCTCATCTTAACTTACCAGCAAGCAGTTGATTTTGCACTCCCTCACAGAAAAAGATTTGTGTGCCTGTTTCTTTCCATAGTTTCTCTACTTCCAGCTAGAACTAAAACTGCCTGGAAAAAAATCTGTTTTTCTATACATACCTTTAGAAGGATAAGGTGGATCATCCACACAGAAAAAAGTGTCATTTTCCAAGATGATATCGCACAGGAAAGCAGTAATATTGGTGATGTTCCCGAGGAAGCTAGCATCAACTATTTCCATTCTTCAGTATCCACAGGTTAGCTCTGATGAAGAGGAGGGTGGGTTTGTAACTAGCTGCCCATTCCTTCAGTAACTAAATACATTTCTGAATGAAATCTTCAGGAGAAATACGAGAGAGGCAGTTGTGCAAGGGAGCTCTTCTCACTCCCCGTCAGAAACACCCGGCACACAGAGTCCTGTTCAGGCTGAACAAGATTTATTCCAGTGGCACACAAGGCAGTTCAGAAAAGCAAAGCGTGCACGCATATACACACTCACACGTATGCACACACACACGCGCGCACACGCACACACACACACACACACATCCCCTCCTGTACTTTTTTAGATCCACCCTCTTCTCTTACTGGCCTACTGTTGGGATTATAAACAGGCTAGGAAAAGATTACAGCGTTAACCCCTTGCAAGATTGCTTCTACTCACATCTCTGCACTATTTCTCAGAGGGAGTCTGTATCGCCACGGCCAATAAATCACAACCAGTGAGTGATGAGAGTGATAAATCTGTCTCTCAACCAACAACATATAAAATGGTAAGAGCAGCTGAACAAAAGGGCAGAGAAAAACATAGTGAAGATTTTGCATGCCTTACATGAAAATGATTCTTATCTTCACATTTTTTGGAGCAGACTGAAGGCTGGTTATGCTCAGAAAAACAAGCTGTTACATTGGTCTCATTTGGTGAAGTGCTAACTTTGTACAAAAGCGCTGTACACGCCTGATCCAAACCCCAGTAAGTCGACAGAAAGACTCAATAATTTCAATGTTCTTGGATCAAGCCTTATAAAACCACAATATTAGAATTGTTCATTAATACAAGCAGAAGCCTACACATTTTCTCAGTGCAAGGACTTGTATTTGACTTGAATACAAACTTGAAGAACTGATAAACTGTGGGACATTAGTTACGCCTTAGTGTAAAACACAGCGATCTCGTCTGTTTAAAAGAAACCCTTTCTTCTGAGTTCTGCTTTTTGAATACATAAACATCATCCTCTCTGGTGTTTCTACAAAGTCATGGGCTTTTAACTTCCAGTATACAGCTTGTTTATGGCCAAAAATGTAAATTAATATTATAAATGAATCCCTGACATAGCTCAATAGAAAAAAATTTCCCATTTAAATTCTCTTCTAGTTAAATAGGCAGAGCAATAATGGGTTCCTAATAACAGGCTTGGACCCCTTAAAGTTGATATACACAGACAGGAAGGCCTGGATTTCTTTTCCAGTCTCGCCAGCCTTGCTCTATAGTGCCATTAACTGGACTGGGTATAGGTATGTAGGAGACTGGATTGGAAAGTTCCTCCTGAAGTTCTAATTTCTAAATTATCTTTTCTTTAGCAGAGCAATTATATTTTTTCCATTTCTTTTACAGATTTTTGCAGTTTTTAACAATCTGAAATAAAATAACTCAGGCTGGCAATCAGTGTAGACAATGTGTAACTGTCTCAGCTGAAGGACTCAATTCCAGTTTCAAAGGTATAACGTACTGGTAGGAAATTAATCCAGAATGACACGTTCTGGTTTATTTTTCCACTCGTGAATCTCAAAATGGAAGCAAATCACACTGAAGACAGAAAAGTTAAATATGTTTCCATTTTTACATTGATTAAAGCATTATTTTGAACATTAGGTACCAATGTCTCTAAATCCCTGATTTTCTCTTAGCTGCCCAATTCACCTTTATTTTTTTATGTTTTCTGTGATTAAATTGATGGGTGTTACTAATCAACCCCTCTATTAAATGACAGATGTTGCCCATTTAGTTAAACACAGAAATTTGTTGTTGTTTTAGCTTTGAATTTATTTTTAATTATTCCCGTATTTCCTGAACATTTTCTCTGACAATTTAAGATTGTTATAATATCACAAGCAGCTGAAATGGCAGCCAAGACAGGTGCTGATTTAGTAGTGGTAATGCATAGGAAAAGTAACATGTGCTTTTTGGAAAGGACTGCTGAACTCAGGTGCTTTTTTTGCTCTTCTTCATAGACAACAAAAAGATGCAGACTAGTCCAAGCTGTCAAAACTTCTGGTTGACAGCTTCTCTTTTCTTTGAAAATTACTTTCTGTAGGAGAAAAATCAGCAACAAACCAACTCAGCCTATGTCTGCCTTTCTAAGGTGCCCTTTACACTTGAGGCACTGATCCTCCTTTCTGTATCTGTACCAGAGTCACTTCAACGCAGCCTTCAAATGTTAGAACATTTTCTTCTGTCATAAGGGAGCATTCGATCTGAACAATTTTGAGCTTTAAGAGACCTTTCTGTATCAAAAGAAGCTATTATAATTATTTATCATTATTACAATGGTCTGACCTGCTGCAAAACACAGGCTGGGTTGTTGTGTTTAGCAATTCCTTTACTGAATTAAATAGCCTGTAATGGAGTTGGAGTCTTTCTGTAAGCAAGATGTCATATAGTTGTTCTGGGCTTATTCTTAATGTGGAAGAGATCTTTCTGGATTCCTGGCACCTTCTATTAGATCTGCATTAGAGGAATCAGTTTCAGTTGGGTTGAACGGCTGATATTGGCAGTATTTCCTCTATTACTTTTTACTATAGATGTGTTGCTATTTGGGGATGGATTCTCTCTCAATTCATTTTTCATCTACAGCTTTTATACTGGTTATAGCACTATACTTTTGGAGTGAGGGGTTAATTGCTGGTGTTCTGATGAGTTATAGCTTGGTTATTTCTGTACCATGAAGAAGCAACTATACCATAGTTATACTAAACTGCGTACATAGTTTTGTTACATATATATGTACATACATAACTGTACTTTAGCTATACTAAAGGGAGAAATTAATTTTTATTTATGCTGTCAGATACAGACTGAGACTGTGCACTTGTCATCATCAGCTGGGCTTCCAGCCCTGCTAAACTGGATTGCGTAGTGTCTTCCATGACATAAGCCAGACCTGGTTAAAAAAAAGAGAAGACACAGAGTGAATGGAAGTCTGGGGGAGACACAGTTAGTGATCAGGAGGTAAGACAAGATTAGGGGGATCATTGCAATCAAAGAGATTGCACTGGGGCTGTTGTACTGTATCCTGTATTGTGACAGAGAGTGAATTATCGTTCTGAAGTCAACTTCTCTGTACCTGCCATGCTATTGTCATATCTGAAGAACGTCGGGTTGGTTATTCATTCCTTGTAAACAAGCGGTTTCATGCCTCCCATAAGCATCGCGGCCCAGGTCTAAAATCTCTTCTAGTTATTCTACAGTATTTCACAGATGCTAACACATAAAGATGAATCAAGCATTTAAACAATGGTATATTGAGTTTTTGTGTTGTTTTTTCCTGTGTTCCTTTCCTAATAATTCCTGTAATCCTATTTACCTTTTTTATGACTCCTGAGAATTGAACTGATGTTTTCATGGAAGAACCTACCGCAAGTTTGGTAGTCTCTTTCCTGCATAGTAATATCTAGTTTAGAGCACTACACTGTTCAAGAAAAATGATATTCCTTTTCTACTTTGCAGTGATTTTTATTCTCCCATTTTATCAGAAAGAGTTTTCTGCAATACTTCAACGTCAGGTTTTGCTTCTCCTCTCCTTGAATGACTTAGCATCAACAGAAAACTCTTTTACCTCACCTCTTTTCCCATTTTCTGGAGCATTTATGAAAGTGATCAACTGCTGTAGCAAAGCTTACTGTGGGGCTCCATTCATAATTGCCTTTCACTCCTCCTTTTCATTCCCACTTTTTATATCCAATGTTTTAACCATATCATTCCCTATGTCACTCCAGACCAATGGTTTCCTACTTGTCTGTGACATTAAACTGCTCCTGAACACCTGCTTCCATGATTCTCCTAGTTCTTTCTGGCATGCAGATCCATGCCATCTTCGCTCCCTCAGCCCAAGTAAATCTTCCAGGACTGTATATTAGCATTGATTGCCATGTGTTGAATCATCCCGGGCCTTGGGGAAGCTTCTCCTAGAGAATGCAAGGAAGAAGCAAACCAAGAAGTGATACAGCAGCTCAGTGATGTGGGTTGTCATAGCATGAGTGAATAATGTTTTAAGTTAAAGAAACAAAACACGAAGCCTGAAGCATGCATGCAGGTCATTGAAAAACTCAACATGTATTCTGCTGAGTTATTAAGATCTTTAGCAGCATGGGCACCACTGAATCACCAGTTGCTCATGGCTCACTGGCTCTGTGCCCAAACGAGAGAGTGCTTTTTCGACCTTTTTTTTTTTTTTCTGGGGAGAGAAGGAAATCAGACCTTCCCATTCCACTTACACAAAGGTAGCCCAGAGCCATGTTTGCATTGCAGCTTACTTTTTCTGGATGTGCAAATTCAGATGACATCCGTCAGGCTTATTGACCTGAATTACCTGTGAGCAGATGGCTTCATCCCTTGCCATTCATGCCTTCCCAATGCAAGCCCGCTGATGGTGGCAGAGGCAGAGGCAGGCTGTGCATAAAAAAGCCTGCCATGACCATGCCATACGGAAAAGGCTGAACTCTCAGAGAGCAGTAGGCTCTTGTGGAGGACTTGGCATAATGTTATTCACTTCTGGAAGTCCTGGATGCAGCTGGTCATCAGTGGTACTACCGCTATATGGTCCCACTAACCCCCTTGCTCTCAAGGGGGTGAGAGGCTGGCCAGGGCTGCTGGTCAGTAAACCAAACACTATAAAGCATGTCTCTCACATCGGTCTCAACTGTATGTGGGAAGGTGTGAAGGACCAGCTTCCCTAGGACAATAGGAGGCCCTCACCCAGCCCCGTCCCAAGGGATGGGCCCGCTACAGTGACAAGGCATGCTTCCAAAGCACATGCTAGAGGGCTGAAGCCAATGAGGCCAGTAGCCATGGCTGAAGGCTTCATGCAGTCAGCAGAAATCCAAACCGGACCAAACTGTCATGGATGCAGCCCACTTTGTGGAGCTGCTCGGCTTGGCCACGTACTGTGCAGACAACAAATGACTGGAGAGCACAGTGGAGGGAGGCAGAGGGTAGAGCATAGGCACGAAAGGTTGAGGGAG